GGGCGTGTCCCCACCCCTGCATTCCCCCCAGGTATGAGCACGGTCTCAGAGGCGTCGGCCGCGCGTCACCTGGGGCTGCGCGTCCTGGGGCTGTCCCTCATCACCAACTCGGCCCCCGGTGACGATGACGGCGACGATGTCACGGCGGGAGGGGCGGGAACAGGGCCACACCSGGCCACGCCCACGGGCCACGAGGAGGTGCTGCTGGCGGCCCAGGAAGGGGCACGGCACCTGCGGGCGCTGCTGGTGGCCCTGGCCCCCAAACTGGACGAACCCGGACGCAGCCGGACGCGCCCGGACGCGCCGTGACGTCACCGGCATGACGTCACCGGGGTGACATCGCGCCCCGGCCGCCCGCGGCGGTGACGGTTCCGTGTTGTCCTCATGTGCTGGGGCAGTGCCTTGATCCCATGGAAATCCCATGGAAATCCCGTGTCGTTCCCGTGTGTTTCTTCCGTGTCATTCCTGTGTCATCCCTCCCCAAATCCTGTCTGGGATTTGCCTTAATCCCATGGAAATCCATGGAAATCCCATGTAATTTATTCCGTGCTGTTCCCATGTCATTCCCTGCCTTTTTTTTTCCTCCTGTTTTTGCCTGAATCCCATTAAAACCCCATGGAAAACCCATGGGAGTCCCATGTTTTATCCATGGAAATTCCATAGAATTCCCATGTTTTTCCTTTGTATTTTTCCCACATCATTCCCATGTAATCCCTGCTTTAGATTTTGCTTTGATTCTGTGTAATTAATTCTATATAACTATTAACTCCCAGGCAATTAATTAATTCCTTGCAATTCATTCCAGCATAATTAATTSGTGTCCATCCTGTGTGCGTCATTGTCCTCCCCCCCGCTTGAACTAACGCCCGTTAACAAGCGGTCAACTCTCAGGGCAAGGGAGGTGGTTAATTAACCCCACTGATTAATTATTCCAGGCTAATAAATCCCGTTGATTAATCATTCCAGGTTTATTAACCCCCCCTTCATGAATTATTCCGGGTTAATTAGCCCCACTGACCTATCATTCCAGGTTAATTAGCCCCTATTCCTTAATTATTCCAGATCAGTTACCCCATCCAGTTAATTAGTCCACGTTCATTAGTGCTATTATTTGCGGTCAAATAACTGCTGCAATTGAATATTTAAGGCCATGTACCCTCCCAAATAAAAATTAACCTGTAATAATTAATTAGCCCAGGCTGACTAATGGTTCAAAGCTTATCAGTGCCCCCAGCTAATTATTGAAGMTTCATTATTTCCTCTGATTAATTAAATCAGGGCTAATCGTTGCCATTAATTAGTTAACCAGCACTAATGACACCTGCAATTAATTACCAAAGCCTAACTAATTATCCAGATTAATTATCCTGATTAAGACTGCTGCATTCAGGGGCTTGATTGACCCCAGGGGCTTAATTAATCAATGACAGGAGGCTAATTAACCAAATCTCTGACTACTCAGTTCAGCTTTGGCCTGTTAATTAATTAATTAATTAATTCTTTAACTAAGTGACCATTCCAGCTCGTTTACATTCCAGGCGGCCCCTCCCCCCATCAGGATGGTTAATAAATGCGTTAATTAGTTYATTAATGAAGGGAGGGGACTTGGCCTTAATTAAAGGTTAATTGGGGAAGTTGGGGAAAAGTTGATTAAAAGTTTGTCAAAGTGAAATGAATTTGAATAAAAGTTGGGTAAAAGGTGATTGAGAGTGSAATAAAGTTTATTAGAGGGAATTAATTAAGGAGTGGAGTGGGGGAGGGGC